GAAGTTTGTAAAAAATGAATCCGCCTCAACAATATAGAACTTATCTGTTCTGTATGTTCTGAATCTGTTTCAGTTCATTTCATTGATTTAAAATGAATCTGCTATTTTCCCCATTAAAAACAAAACGGCTGAATGCGTACTTGAATATAATTCATTTTCTGAATTATTTTCTCTTTATACATTTATATTCATTTACCATCCAACTCTGAGATAAATCAAATATGAGCTCGTGCAATTTATTTATTTATTCAGAAACGTTCAATTTACATCCTTTTTTACATGAATTTCTTTTCCAGATTTAATGTGCTGCACCCATACCACGGGAACATGCAGGAATGTCTGCGAAAATGTAAGTTACGAAAAATGCTTCTTTGCTAGCAGTAAAATCAGCATTTGATTTACTTAATACATTGAAATTTGCCAAGTTAGAGCAGGGGCAAAGACATAGGTGTGCGAGTCATGCTGATGGAAATATCCACATTGGCTGTTAGCCAAAATAGGCCGTCGCCAAAGTCCGCTATATTCTTCATACTGTCAATGTTCTTTTTACTCTGCCTGCATTCTTTGATCTTATTTTATAATATATTTCTGAACTGTCTATTAGGAATAATGTATTTTTGAACGGTGCTCCTGTGCATCATCGCGGTCAACCAGACAAGCTCTTACTTAGCTAATATTAAATTATTTAACATTGGTTATTTGTTAAAATAAACGGAAGGAAGGAAGCAGAAGAAGCTTATATTTTTAGCCTCAATATCTACTTCTGCAACTGCGGCGTTTCCGCTTTGCTTTGAGACGTGAACAGGCTGTTGATTATCGTCGGATTATTTGAATTTTCGCAACTGTTCTGCCACTGAAAGTTTATTACGCTTTTTTGGCCTGTTATTTCTAGGAAATATTAATATTTGGTTTTGAACATTATCTTCTTAACACTCCTTAACATTAACTATCTGTTTAAACCTAATCATAGATGCTGAAAGCGTGCCTTACAGGAACCTTCTGATTTCCGGCCATTTCTCAGACCAAAATGCGTCTTGAATTAAACAGACGCTTAAGCGTTGAAGCTTCGTAATTATTTTTCAAATCGATGGATTCAGTTATAATATAATATAATAAGATATAATATAATCAATTATTTAAAAATGAGGAAAACATTCTAATCTAGCTAATAAACTCAGATCTAATCTTGCTGTTCTACCTTAAACCACCCCCTGGAAGAGTCTTTTGGCGTGTTCAAGACCGAAAATAGACAAATAATAATGCTCCATTATTTGTAGCTCGAAGCTTTGAGCAGATTAAAATCAGATTATTATTTCATGACAGAACATGCACGGAAGAGCTTAGAAAGTTGGATCCCCTTGCTCTCAGATGGCCCACATGGCTTTTTATAAAACACGTCTAATAGCTGGTTCAAAGTGATCCGAAATCTTAATGCACTTCATATATTGGGATCACTTCCAGACTGCCAATGATTAACATGTTTAAAGCTTTGAAGTGCTCAAACCCATTTCAAAAAAGTGCATGGAAAATRACGTTTATTTAAAGCAAAATTAGTTCAGGCATGAAAAGTATATTCGAACGGTATACAAAAAATGAAGATTTGACGTTGGGTCAGCAAGGTAATAGTAAGGAAACAGGAAAATGTTATTTGCGAAAAAACCATGACCGGTACAAGATTTTCCAAAGAGGCAAAAATYTAGGAAAAAGATTGGTGCMTCAACCAAAGGAGAGATTGATTGTTTTCGGCTATCAAARCACTCRGAAATTGCCAYTTCTCCAATGGGGATGGGAATTGTAGCTTCAYCGAAAAATGAGTCCATGACATTTTTCTTAAAAGGTCAGATGTTGCGTTTACGGGACACCTTGTATAAAGTCAATAAAATGGCGATTTGTGCATTATTAATTCAGAAGGGGTCTAAAGAAATTCTAGCATGCAACAATACAAGACAATCATATTGATGGCACCAGCAAAGGCCCTCATTGTGCATTCTAATGTCCAGGCCGCAATGATATCCCTCTCATTAATATTAATCAGCGTATAGCGTATTTTAATTTCAAAGACATATAAAACGAAGAATTTACGATTGGTTGTGTGTGTGTGTGAATTACGTAGCGGTTTCAAATTAAATTTGCTGGAAACGGTCTGTTGTTCGTCTAACAAACACAAATTTGGCTGTTTGAAATGTAAAATCGCAAAAGCATAATTTATAATTGTTCTGTTTAAGCGCTTAATTATACGAAAGGCTACGTAGTTCAATGATCGCTAAAAGCTTGAAACGATCGGCTAAATAATTAAAAATTCCCGTTTACACTAACTCATTTCCCAAATTTTTATTGCCAGTTAGGCAATTAGGAATTGATTAACTTGATCTTAAATTCGTTTAATTTGCCTTAGTAGTCAATCGAACATTGAAAACGAAAATAAACCGAACCCTAGGAACATCTGGACAAGGCCATACTGTAAACAAAATTTACATTATTAGTTGTGTCTTAGTTGCGCAGTAGCGTAGAAGGTTGATTGGGGAAGCGTAGAAGGTTGATTGAGTTTTTTTCCTGGTTTATTGGTTTGATTTGAGTTTCGGCTTTGCTTCCAAATGCATAAAATTGAACTGAAGATCATGCACAAATGTTGTTGTATGAGTTATCGCATGTGCAATTGTACCCATCTGAAGCATGTTTGGGTTTAGTGTTCTGTTTTAAATAATAAAATCGCATATTTTAGTACAGGAATTGTTGATTTTATGGGTTGAAATTGAAGCACTTTGATGTTATTTGGATTATCTGGTTATTTTCCTTTAAAAGTTTGCAAAAACATTTTTGATAATTTTCTCGTTTCCATCCCTTTTGTTTTCTGTTGAAAACATTTTCACCTTATACAAAGCAACTTTCTTAATATGTAGTGTTTCTTRGRAAATTGYRTTTTTCTAACACTCGTGTATTGAAAATGACAACTTTGCAAAAGCCAGAAAAAAGGCGTCTACTTTAAAGTCCAGTTCGAATAATTTYGCGGTTWMACCAAATCTAGAKTTGTTTGTGCTTTGTACTCTTTTGTCTGAAACACATTTCGTAGGTATKTAAGTTAGATTTGGTAAGTTTTSGGTAATTTTTATRTTTTTTCTTACTTTCTGAAGTGTTAGTTTTGCCTGATTTCTCTCAAACCATTCGGCAACTTGTTGAAAAMWTTTTTARGTATTGATTTGTTCATTTGCCTAAAGAAACCGCATCTCCTGAAGATGGTTTAACTCGAACATTTTTGCTGAATTTCGGAGTCMCAAAATTGAGAAATTTAAGCCAACTGAACATTTWAATMTATTTTTTGCTKACTTTTCGAGTCTTCATATTGAAATACTGGAGCAACCTAACGACTGWCATGCAGAAACTTGCTAACTTGTTTTCTGAAGTTTTGATGCCTGAAATMGGAAAATAAATTCAGATTGAAATATTTGAGGCAGAAAATGYCCGCAGAAAATTMATTTGTAGTTGACTACTAATTTGTCTYKAAGTGAAGACACTCAAAAAGCGTTGGTTGAAGATTTGTTCGTTTCTGAGACTTCCTTACCAAGAAAATTCATAGARTACTGTTTTTGTCACGTCTCAGTTCTGATAATCTGAAGAAATAGTAAATATTGATGCGGAAACAGCCTCAATTTCCCGAAGAACAAAAAGTCTTCCAGGGGAGATGATTTGGATCGAGTAGCACTTTTTCACTATGGCTCGTTGCAATTTGTGGGAATCATTTTGAGAAGAACCATTTAATAAAATTAGGCTTGCCTTCAGCTTCTTCCTGATGGTCTTTTTTCGACAAGGTGAGCATAATTTTGCGCAAACGCGTAGCAAATGGAAACATTGGAAACTAGCAATGTTCCTCATCGTTAAATCAAAAGCACATCAATTGGCCAGCAAGAAAACCCGATTTCAATCCTTTGGATTTTATTGAAACATTTTTCCTTGAGTTGATATACCATGTTAATTCCTGTGTGGAATGAACATAAATCTTGCAGGAATTTAAAAGAACGAAAGAAGTTCGCAGAAAAAGAGTATTGAAGTAAAAAAGCAAATTAAAAACACAATTGAATTGAAAAAGGAAATGGTTTTTGAACCAAAAAAGTTTGAAAAACAAAAGTTTAAACCGTTACAGGGACTTTGGAATGAGGTTCGTGTTTTATTTTTCAATTCCTCAAATATAAAATTATGAAAGTTGTTGGATTAATACAAAAATTAAATTTTTAGCAATTGTCATAATTTCCATTTTCGTTTCCATTCCAATAATTTTTCCAACTCATTAAACTGTTTTCTACTATTACACATTTGCAACTACATTTTTCAGTAATTATTGGTGCTCTTCAAAAAAACTTTACATCGATTTGCAGCGCGAGTACTACTTTTTAAGTAAAAACACATGTACTTGGAAAAATTGTCGTTAAAAAGCCACAAGAGGAACACAAAATAATCTAACAAGATTTACGTTGTATAATTTGAACAATAACGTTAGGTACAGACTTTATTGTAAGTATATAATAAAAGTGCTGAAAATTTTCAATTTTACGCCCGGCTGTAAAAAGTTTTATACTCTCCAGTCTGTAAAAGAGCAAAAACGGACGTACGCCCATGTTCAGTTTTGTTTTAAGGCGTTCCGGCGATTTACGATCGATTTTATCGGAAAACAAAAGTGAAACGATGAGCCGTAGGCTGCTCAACTTTATTGCCGACCGGTTGTTTAAAATGTTTATATTTTAATTTTAATTGCCTAGTTTCGTTTACAAATTGGCTCATCCAAACAAACATTAATTTCAAATAGTTCAACTTTGAAAGTGTTTGAAATTTACTACTGAGGAGATAGTTAAGTTGGTGTGTCATATGCAGTAACATTTAAGCACCGGAAAATTATTTCAGGTCTCAGATAGAAACATTAAATAATGCAAATTTAAATCAAGCATGTTTTGAATCAATCAGTTCAGGTTCAGCGCGTTGTTTATTTGATTGACTACCATCTCACAGGTCTTCGTGCATCAAAACAAGTGAGTTATGATGGAAATAAACTTCCAGCGCCACGATTTTTCTTGTCGCAGCAGGTTGTGCTCGCCCTGTAGGGCATGCACAGCGTGTTCCACCCATCAAAAAGTGTTACCTCCCGATGCGCCATTGTTTTCTTTTAAGTTTCGAAAATCGTGCTTTTCATGCACAGTGCTTTATTTTTTACTGTCTTTTGTTTGTGTGGTAGATCGTTTATTTATTTCCTAGTGTTAGTCATACAAATCGATGTGTGGCTATTGAAATGGAAGCTTGGAAGCTTGTTGTTCATGTTCATCGACGTGAACTACTAAAGTTCTATGTTTTTTTCTTATCAAA